AATTATTCACAACAAACTGCTCTACTTGTTTGACCAACTCAATTAATGGTTAAATAACATTCATCCTTACAAGAAGGAATTTTTTCCCTGGTCAATTACTGAACATACAACCTGTAAATGCTTTTGTTCATTACAGTTTTAACTTTAGTTAACATTAAATGCCACTAAAATCCATCAAAACAGGTAAGATTTAATGGAATTACTGCAAGCAAATGAAACCTGAACAAAACAGAAACATTTGTAAAGGCTGTTGCAGCTCTCGAGGAAAGAACAAGCAAAGATGACAGCAAACTGAGAACAATTTGGAATGAGTAAAATCTTGCTCTGAATTCCAAAGGCTCATTTTTATTACTCATGTTTTATAATGCAAATATTCATTTAGGATGTAAAGAAACTTTGGAGCTCACCTAGTTCAATGCCCTGTTCAAAACTTGAATTAGATGAGGTTGTTCCAGATTTTGTTCCAATTCAGAGCGTGCCCAAGGACATGTTTCTCCCACATCTCAGGACTAGAGACCTCGACCTTGAACTTGAATTTCACTATCCCCCAGTTAAAACCCTTTCATCTTACATCTAATTGGCATTACCCATGTTAAAACTTGTTTGTTGTCCCTTTTCCTGTCCCTATGACTCTGCATCTCTGACAAGTCTGGCTCTGGTTCTTTGAGATCCTCCTCTTTGACAGATTTAAACAACATCTCCCCTCAGCCTTCCCTTCCAAATACATGCAAAGTTATCTAAGAGAACTGTGTAGATGATGTTTGGGATCTCATTTTCACTACAGGAGCACGTGTCTTATCCAAAGGGAAAAAAATGAGTAACTGTAGAAAGGAAGGAAAAAAAATACTACCAATTAATGACAATTTTTTAATAGCTCACTCAGGTTGGTTAAGTCCTGTAGTACTCTCTTCAGAAAATACTTGTGTTAGGGATTCCTAATTTACCTGGCTGTTATTTAAAAGAATGCTGAAATGAAAAAGAATTTTCAGATAAAGTTCTTAATTATTGTAGATAAGTCACGATTATCTATAGACTTGACTGCACTTAGATGTCATTGCAAAAAGTCAAACTAAATGTCATTAAATATCAGTCATGATCCAAGAACTGCTCATGGCTGGTGTCACTAGACCCCCAGAAGAACTTTTCTAGGAACGAAGGCAGGAAAAACAGGGCTGTCCATAAAAGTCATTGATTCCATGTGTTCGGTGACCTAGGCAAGGTTTTCAGTCTCCATTTCTATAAACCAAGTCTTACCCTGAACTCATCCTACCTAATTCCAGGTGCTGTACCAAAAGATTCCAGGCTCCTTCTGTGCTTGGAGAAGAAGACCAGGAACTGTGGAGTACTTGAGGTTTTTCACAGGTTCATTTTCTATTGCGATGGACCAGAGCACCTCAACCTTCAAATGATTTTTATAGATCCTACCTTGCATTAGAATACTAAAGACAGTACAGTGAATCTGGGAAGAAACACTCAACATCTGCAAAAAAAACTATCCTTGGATTTGATCCAGTAATCCGAGAATTGAAACAAATCTAATGAATATTTTTTTAGGTTGTCTGCCCTAATTTTCTCTTTTGTCCTCAAAAGGTCAAATAGGGGAAAAACACGTAATACAAAACATATCAATCTCTCCAACATAAAGAAACAAATAAGATTGGAGCCCCAAGACAGCTGTTTTATTTAGATAAATGCTGCTTAGAAAACAATTAAAATATTTCTGCCCAGAAAAAAATTGGTTTCCTTTCTCTAGCGGTTCACAGAAAGCTGACACCACTTATCTATCAATATATGCCCTCAAAAGAACCCCAGAGCTAAACTCTCTGACTCTTCTTGCCTGAACACATGGTTTAATTCACCTGCCCATGTCTCTGCATTTTTTAAAAGATATTATTATCCTAACCAGTCGTCAGTGCCTACCTGAAACAAGAATATCTGCTCCCTAGAAATGGCCCTTGAGTTCCACATGAAGGAAATCTGGAGTGAACTTCTCAGATGCAGATGTTTCCACTTCACTAGATGAATCACTCTCCCACAGCAATGGAGATGATAGTAAAAACCTCTTCATAATTCAATTAAAAACTTTCTGAATAATAAAATAATTGGTTTTCATTACACCACAGATCTACTCTCATCTTTTGCACAGCTTGAGTGTGGTAGCCTCCCACTGTTACTGCAAGATTTCTTTTTCCATCTTTTTCAAACCATAATTAACTAGGGTGAAATCTTTCTCCTGGTTTGTTTGTGGGTTTTTTGGTTGGTTGGTTGTTTTTTGTTTGTTTGTTTGTTGGGGGCTGTTTTCTTGGTTTTGTTTTAATTTTTACTTGGCCATCCAGAGTAAAAACTGGAATGTAGAGTAGAAGACAGAGAAATGCTGGTATTGAAAATTAGGTGTCTTAAGGGAGGATGTAGTGATTGAAACTCATCATTATTCTATAATCTTTCCTACCTTGAGCTCAGTATTGTTTGCAGAAAGGAAATAATGACAATATTTCCTTCTATTTTCAGTTCTATGAGGGTGCATCGTGTGTTTGCTTTGAAACACTGAGTGGAACTGATAAAAACCCAAAGGATTACGACTGAACAGAATCACTTTAACGTCTCTGAGGTGCAACTGTACCAGGATCAGAAAGCCCAGGGTGTGAAGGCAGTCCTGGTTTCCTCCATCCCCTGTACACAGTTCAAGTGCTATTGAGCATTTTTGTTGACAATTCAAATGAGCTGAGGTCAAAGTTTAAAAGGATTGCAATTTAAATCAACACGAAGAGTCCTCTGGAATGCTGGGCACTATCACTGTGACTTCTTTTGCTGAAACGAGATGAAATCCACAGCAATTCATTTTGAGTCAATGGTGTTAAACCAGCCTAAAACTGCAGTAAGAGAGGGCAGGGTGATAAGAATCTCTCTGCCAGCTGACAAGGTTTAGGAACAGATGGAGCATTTCACAGCTCTCCCTCACTTCTCCTATAGAAAAAGAAGGTAAGAACCAACCCACAAAGTTTTAATTCAACTTGTAAGAGAAATCAGCCTGGGAAATAAAGAAAATTTGGGAATCTTACACAGAACACCTTAATAATACTGAAAAAATGTTGATCTTACATCATTAAA